GTTCACTACTGGCGTGAAAGGCAACGATTTAATCAAGAAAGAAATTAGATCGGTTTTGGTTAAGAAGTTTGGTGAAACCACTACAGGAAAAACGGTTATTAGCGACAAGAAAAATGGTCCCTAAAAATCAGAATCCGGTCCCTAAAGATAAATAACGACCAGGTTCACCTGGTCGCGACCCGTCGTTGTAGGCTTCGCCGCTAAAGGTTAATAGCGACGGGTACTTCACACTGGTCCTTAAAGGGTTTCAGCGACCGGCACGTTTCTAGTCTCTAAAATATTTTTGACGACCAGATTTCCGGTTCATGATAAACACCTTAAAGCAGTCACTATCTGGTCCTTAATTGATTTAGGGACTACTTTCTAGTCTCTAATGATTAACTAACTGTATATTAAATTGGTCAAAAATAATATTTTAAGGACAATCAGTCCTGGTTCGTAAAAACAATACAGCGAGTCCTTAAAATTTTATATCAATAAATCTCAATATTAATCAAATTCTCTAAAAACCATTGCCACAAAATATAATATAAAGATAAATCTTTCTATTACAAAAATTAAGTAACTTCTTGTTAATGGCAAGATCCATGATGTAAGTCACAACATCTCTAGCAAAACACGTGATTAATATCCCTAGATTAGAAATATAATAATATTTTGTTGCAATAATATCATAGCAAAATGATAGTCATCTTGTATATATGTTTCCAAAAGTTGCATCTTGACTTGTAAGTTGCTCCAAAACCTGGAAAAATGATGCAAACAATTATTGTTAAGAAAAAAAAATAAAAAAAACCAGAAAATCAATTAGTTTACTAGGATAAATATTTAACCACTTACTTGAATAAGTGCCCAAATTAGAAAGATAAACCATCACTGTAAAAGAGGCTGCATGACAACAAACAGAAGTGGATTAGAAATAATAATTTTTTGGATAATAAGAACAATAAGTCTAGTTTTCCTAAGCCTTCAGTTGTTTGATTGCTTATCAGTCTGCTGAACTTGTTTACCTAGTTAACACAGTGATATGTGTTATAGCTTAGTATGAATCTTGTCCAAGTCTGCATTTTCTTTAGTTAACTATGTATGTAACCACAAGCAAACATGTATGAAGGAAAACTGTAGTTCCTAAAATAGCTTTATGAAATCATTAACGTGACATAAGTATGACAACGATATAAAACTATTGCTAAAGACCTGCAACTGGAAGTCAGTAGAATGAGTGCATGTTCTAATGTTCAAGAGATTTTAAGGCTAAACTTGATTCAATACTTGTTTAAGGCTGAAATTGATTCAAAAATAGTACATCACTCATACATAAGCCAAAACGAAGCAAACTACTACATCTTTCTTCCTAATAAATCCAGAATATTCATATATACTGATGAAGATTTTCTACTAGCAGACTGTTTTTATACCAAAAGTAAAGATTATATAAACATCTATTTTTAGTTCTAGAAATATGTTCTTTTTACCCCTCAAAGCATGCTCTATTCTACTCTAGCCAAATAGTCCAATAGATTCAAAGAGGAATAGTCTTCCATGTTAATTCCATGACCTGATCAAGTGTCTGGAAGCAACCACCTGTTATGGTCTATAGTGTTAGTGACTTAGAGTAAGTTGTCTTAGGTATTTGAATTATCCTAATTGATTACTCATCACTTGCTCAGTATAAAGTGTAAACTTTTGAACTAGTTAAAAGAGGTTGAAATACACTGGATGGTGTATGGTTGACAATGGATGGACTGGGCCATACTTGGCATATGAAGGAACTTGTCCCCTTACGGACACAGATCCCAACTTGTCCTGAAAATCTGCAATGGAGAAGCAAGTGACTAACGAATTTCTGATCTTCCTCGCACTAAAAGGTAAGCCATAGGATGTTTGTTTCAGTTAATTTTCAAGTACTAGACCTAAGGCGTAAATTTACTTATATTTCTTCTTCTTAAAGCTATTTAGATGAAGTTTCTTATATGCAGACTAGTTGTACGAAAGTTAAAAAAGATGCTCTTTTAAAGTTCAGAAAAGGTCCCAAGAATCCGTGATAGAGCATGTCGCCTCTGATATTCAAGGAAAACTACTGCAATTAGAAAGGTGTTGAATGCGACAATAGAATTGGAACATGTAGAAAAGCAGAAAATGCACAATAAACAATCAAATGAACTAATATTCGAGTAAGTTGTTACTAACTTGGTATGTTAATCAGATGGTCATTCTCCTGAAACGGTTGATGTCGGAGGCTGGACATTGGAGTGTTGGCCAAATACTCGTTGCTTCATTTCTTTCATCTCATTTTCTAATGTAGACACACGATCCTTCAAAGATTTGTTTTCTTATCGTGTTGAACGCAACTCAGATATTAGTTCAGCCTTTGAAGAAGCACCACCTTTCAAGTCTTTTGCTTTTACTCCACCTCCAAAGCCAAATACATGGCTACGAGTTTGAGGTCCAAAGCATTTTTCTACAATCTCTATGCTTGGAAGAGAAGATTCAGACTTCACTAATTCTTGGATTTGAGCCTGAAAATTATATATGAGATTGTCAGAATCCGTACTAACTAAAAGTAAGGTAGATGTTCAATTAATCAAATGCACATGTTTCTCAATTGTTTCAAAATCAACAAGTGTGTTATTCTTCTCGCGAGTCTCAAAGAAAATAGTTGCCAAATCTGGTGGTTTGCCATCTTTTTTGCCCTTCACATCAAAGTAAACCATGCCAAATAGTCTGTCAATATTCAAAGAAATGGATTGAGATTTTATGATAGCACCTTTTGATAAATAATTTCTCCAATTGGCTTGCTACCAATACGATGAAGCATCTTTAACTTTTGCATAAATAAGATTTTATTTTTAATTTTTGCATATAATGGATTACATTAGCGATGGTTTATGCAATTTACATGTACAAACATACTGATTATGCTCTTAACTAGAACTTCCACTGAAGTATCAATCAAACTTAAATTGAGCGACATAAAGAATCAAATAGAGAGTAACTCTTTTTGCCTATATTAGTAGTAGCATAAACTATTCTCACCAGGAACGAAAAATGAATTTGTAAGAAAACTATGTATAACAGGCATATTCTCCTGAAAAGCTTATGCATAAAGAGATTATGACTTTTCAAAAACAGATAATATAAAACATTAAGTAAATTATTAAACTAAATCAAATCCCATGGATGATACTATATCAAATCCTACAGAATAAGAATAAAATATATTATTATTGACGGTTTATGCAGCTTTCCTTTTACAGCTAGGGTGATATTGAATAAACAGAGTGACAATCAAAGGAATTCTTTAAAATTATTCCATCAGGAATTTTCTTGAGATGTTTTGGCCTACTAGAGTACCAAAACAAAGACAATTCATATTACCATTTCTTCCTCATCTAAAGTGGTTTTGGAAATATCAAATTAGATTTATCAAAATCAATAAGTTGGTTATACAATTCAAAACACCCATAAAATTCTAGAGTGAAGGAACTACATTAGATATAATATGTAAAAAGTTCAACCAATTCTTCACCACATAACAAAACCCGCAACAAACAAAATCCCACAATATACCCACGATACTTTTCTTAGCCCTTCAAGCAAGTTCCCAAAACTCTTGTTTAATGTAACCTTAATAGACAAAACCCATCAATAAATCTACAAATACTTCACTTTTAGCACACAACAACAATTAATATTTCAAAAAAAAAAAGAAACCTAATGACAAAAACTATGTTCTTGTTGTCCAAGCCTCAAAATCGAATTCAATATCCTCAATTTTACCTCCCACACAATAGAAATTAATGTTCTACATAAAGAAGAACTCAATCAAAGAAACATAGGTCGAAAAGATAGAAAGAAATAAAGAAACAGAAGAAGAAAAAAATCTGATTTTCACCAGAATGAAAAAACGAAGCAGAATGAGAAAAATTGTAGAAACTTACTCCTGATGTAGCCGAATGATGCCGAGTAATTGAGAGAAATTTTTTTTTTAACCAGAAAATGCTTGATATCGAGTAGCAAGTATTTTAGGAGTTTAGGAATTTCAAGTATTTTGAGAAAGAGAGAGGGAAAAACGTTTGGGAAGGCTAAGTAAAAAAAAATTTTACTTATGAGAAAGAGGGAGAAAAAGTTTGGGAAACTAGCGCTAAGTATTTTCACTTATTTTTTATTCTCGCCTCTATCTCCCGCTGAATGTGATTATTAGAGACCGGATAAATGTCTTTTTTTCAGACCAAATTAAATTACTTTGTTTCTTTAGGAAAAATAAATCGTAATTTATGGACCAAAAATAATCTCGTCCCTGTAAGTACACTTTTGAGGACCCGATTTTAAACTCGTCCCTAATAACACTTTTTCTTGTAGTGAACCCTCACGAAAGGAGCGTTAACATGGTATTCTCTTTTACCCAAAAACTCTTTTGTTGAGCTTGCATTCGAGAGCTTAGAAAGTTGAAAAAAGGACGGCGGACATCTTTAAGGTGAAACAAGGGAGCACAGAATTGCTCATAGAATTCAGAGATAGATTCCAGCAGGAGAGAATGATGATACCTCGAGTACTTGATAACTGGGCAGCTATGGAATTTGCAAGTAATTTTAATGAGAAAAGTTCAGAAGCCACGAGAAGGCTAAATGAAAGTTTATGAAGTTCCCAGCAACAACTTGGAATGATGTATATAACAGGTACAATACAAAATTGCGGATAGAAAAGAAACGGTCGCACAACCAATGGTCGATGAAAGAGCAGGATCGAGACGTTCGGAATTGGAAAAAAGGTTCGGAAAGAATAGGTACGAACCGTACATGGGACCTGCAGGGTGAGACTCTCTATCTAAACAAGAGAACGTACGATTCAATTCAAGATAAAAGCAAAAAGATACGAGTTCTTCATCTAGGTTGAAAAAGGAATGAGATGATCAAGGCAATGATTCCAATTCGCATGCAAGGATAGGAGATTACAACTATAATATCAGCACATTCGAATTAATAGCTGTTTTAAGAGGTATGGGGGATAAGGTGCGGTGGCCTAAAGAAATGAAATCAGATCCAAGCAAAAGAAATCCAGATTTCTGGTGCGAGTTTCATAATGATCACAGCCATAGAACTGCAGATTGCAGACTTCGTCAAGGAGAAGTCGAACATTTGTTGAAGCAGGGCTATCTCACAGATTTGTTCAGTGAGAAAGGAAGACAATCATATATGAAGAACAGACAGGAATCCCCAAAACCCCCATCACCAAAATGAACAATCAACGTAAATACAGGGGGAGATGAGGTCAATGGTGTAACATATACAACTGCAAAAAATATGTCAAAAGTCACGGTTGTCTTAGATGGTGGCAGTATAACATTTGATGATGAAGATGTGGACGACTTGATGATTCCTCACAATGATACACTAGTAATATCTCTACTTGTACGCGATACTAACGTAAAACGAGTTTTGATTGATCCAGGTAGTTCCATAAATATCATTTTATTGAGGGTGGTGAGTGAAATGAAAGCTAACGACAAGGTGATACCAGAGGCACGGTTTTTGTCCGTTTGATATTCAAGTGTTATCACAAAAAAGGAAGTAGTCCTTACCACGTTTGCAGAAGGGGTTATCAAGGATACAAAGTTCCTGGTGATAGATGCAGACATGGATTATAATATAATTCTGGGAAGACCATGGATTCACGATATGGATATTGTACCGTCCACATTGCATCAAGCTATTAAATTTCCATCACGGTGGGGAATTCGTCAAATCCGTAGAGATCAGCAGGCTTCTAGAAGTATCAATTCAATGGTGGTTGCAAGCACGGTAACCGATGTTACAGACGAGAAATAGCAACCATAGAATTCAGTTAAGGACGTCGTGATACAGACCTCAACTGAAGGCATTCCAGGGCAGACTGATATTGATTCAAGAACGGATATTATTCAAGAGCTAGAAGAAAATGAGAACATTAAAAAAAATATTTAAGGACTCGAAGTTGTAGTACTATTCATACACTGTCCAGATAGAAAAGTTTACATCGGAGCAAATCTAAGCCCAGAAATGAAAGGTAAGTTAATTGAATTTTAAAAGCTGACGCAGATTGCTTTGCTTGGTCGCATTTTGATATGGCAGGTATATCACCGGAAGTGATGACCCATAAAATGAATGAGGACCCAACATATCCAGCTGTCAAGCAGAAGAAGAGGAAGCATGGATCCTTCAAAAATCAAGTAATCCAAGATGAGGTACAAAATATTTTAAAAATTGGGTTGATATGAGAGGTAAAGTACCCTAACTGGTTAGCTAATGCCGTGGTAGTTCCAAAAAACAATGGAAAATGACGAGTTTATGTAGACTATACTGATTTGAATAAAGCTTGTCCTAAAGATTCGTTTCCTCTGCCTCATATAGATAAACTAATTAATTCTACTGCAGGACATGAGTTGTTAAGTTTTTTAGATGCATATTCAGGATATAACCAAATAAATATGGACCCTCTAGATGAAGAAAAAACTTCGTTTATCACAGACATGGAGACTTACTGTTATAAAGTCATGCCATTTGGTTTAAAAATATTGGAGCCACGTATCAAAGATTGGTGACTAAAATGTTTTAAGAACATCTGGGAAAAACTATGAAAGTCTATATTGATGATATGTTGGTCAAGTCTGCACAGGTGCGAGATCATTTTCAACACTTGCCAGACACTTTCGAGATTCTCCGCAAATACAATATGAAGCTAAATCCAGAAAAATGCGCTTTTGGCATGGCTTCGGGTAAGTTTTTGGGTTTTCTTATTTCTAACAGGGGTATTGAAGTGAATCCTGCACAAATCAAAGCTATTGAGGAAATACCAGATATACTCACAAGCAAAAAAGAGGTGCAGAGATTAACAGGAAGAATAGCAGCCCTAGGGAGGTTTATATCAAAATCATCAGAAAAGAGTTTCAAATTCTTTTCGGTATTAAATAAGCAGAATCAGTTTGAATGGACTGATGAATGCCAACAAGCTCTCAAAGACCTGAAATCGTATATGTCAAATCCGTCTTTGCTAGCCAAACCAAAAGACGGAGAAAGGCTACTCATTTATCTTACAACGTCAGAAGTGGCGGTAAGTGCGATGTTGGTACGAGAGGATAAAGGTAAACAATCTCTGATTTATTATGTTGGTAAATATTTGGTAGATGCTGAGACACAATATCCCTATTTGGAAAAACATGCTTTAGCATTAATTATGTCATCTAGAAAGTTGAGACCTTATTTTCGATGTCATCTTATTTCTGTAGTAACCGCTTTCCGTCTGAGGAATATATTTTCATAAATAAGAATTATTTGGTAGATTATCTAAATGGGCAATAGAAATTAGTGAGTATGATATCATATATCAGCCCAGAACTGCAATAAAATCGCAAGTTTTAGTAGACTTCGTAGCAAATTTCAGCAAGAATTTAGTTCCTGGAGCGGAAAAAGAACTACAGGTATTTACCGGATCTAATCCGGGGACTTGGATTTTATTTACCGATGGATCTTCAAATATTAAAGGTGCGGGTTTAGGAATTGTTCTAACCACCTTCAAGGGAAATCATAAGACAAGCCATAAAATGTTATCCAAACACTAACAATGGGCTGAGTACGAAGCTGTGATTGCAGGTTTGGAACTGGCACGAAAACTTGGTATAGAGCAGATTGTGATCAAAAGTGACTCGCAGCTAGTGGTTAACCAGATGCAACAGACTTACATAGCAAGAGAGGCACGAATGCAACAATACCTAGAAAAGCTACAGGAATTACTCATACAATTTCAGTCGTGGAAGGCCATAGAAATACCCAGGGAAGAGAATACAGAAGCAGATGCATTGGCAAATCTCGCGTCGGTTGCAGAAATAACAATTGCAGAAAATGATATTGTGATACATCTATTTCATCCGGCACTCGACCAAGACAAGAGTGAGGTAAATTTTAATAATCTAACTTGGGATTGGAGGAACGAGTTTGTTAATTTTTTGCAGTATGGAATCTTACCCGAAGACAAGAAAAAGTCGCAATTGCTTTGCCAAAAAGCAGCTTGGTATTGCTTAATTCGTGAAAATTTATACCGAATGATGTTTGGCGGACCCTTAGCATGGTGCCTTGGTCCATCACAAATGGACTATGTGATGAGTAAAGTGCATGAGAGGCACTGTGGCAATCACGCCGGGGGAAGATCACTCATAAAGACATTAATAAGAGCAGGATATTATTGGCCAAAAATAGAGGAAGAAGCAGAAAACTTTGTAGCCAGGTGCGATAAATGTCAACGATATGCCATAACATGCACCGCCCAGCAGAACTGCTGCATTCAGTTATTTCACCATGGCCTTTCATGAAATGGGGCATGGATATCGTAGGTCTGTTACCTCAAGATAAGGGAAAGGTACGATTTCTATTAGTTTTGACAGATTATTTTTCAAAATGGGTAGAAGCAGGAGCTTTGAAACAGGTGCGAGAAAAAGAAGTCAGGGACTTTATTTGGCGAAACACTATCTACCGATTTGGAGTTCAAAAGGAAATCGTGTGTGATAATGGCCCGCAGTTCATAGGTATGAAAACCATAGAATTCTTTCAAAATTGGCAGATTAAATGGATTACATCTGCACCTTACCACCCTGCAGCCAACGGGTAAGTTGAATCAACAAACAAAGTTATTATTAATATGCTAAAGAAAATATTAGAAGAATCAAAAGGCAAGTGGCCGGAAGTGTTACCACAGGTATTATGGGCTTCTCGAACGACAGCAAAAACAAGTACGGGTGAGACTCCATTTTCACTTGTATATGGTGCTGAAGCCTTAATTCTGGTAGAGATAGGTGAACCAAGTATGAGATACACATATACTGCTGATAAGGTGCATAAGGAAGAGATGCGAGTAAATTTGGATCTATTAGAAGAAAGGAGAGAAGCAGCGTTAATTCGAATGGCGGCTCAAAAACAGATGATTGAGTGATATTACAACAAGAAAGATAATTTGAGATACCTCAAGACTGGGGACTTCGTCCTCAAAAAGGTGTTCCGATCGATAAAAACAGCCAATGCGGGAAAGTTGAGTCCAAATTGGGAAGGCCTTTATAGGGTTCGAGGCATCGCTGGAAAGGGAGCATATGAGCTGGAAACCATGGATGGCAAGGTACTACCACCAAACTGGAATGCAATTCATTTGAAGAAGTATTACTTCTAGACGAAGAAAGTACCCATGGTCAGGTATCACTCAGATTCAATTTTATTTTGTTTTTTTCAATTTTACTAACAATTTTAGATGATAGGCAAAAAGCTAGCGCGCACCAAATGATGATATTAAACCCGAAAGACACGTGAAATACCGAATTATTTTTGGTCTAGGTTGCAATTTTTCTGATGGGAAAAGGATTATGCAGTCATCATCTAAATGAATATCTCCGAGTCCCGTTCGTATTTTCCTTTTCAGGGAATGGACCAAAAGGAAGGAGTAAACCAGTGTTCGAGATTTCATACTTCAAAGCTCCAACACTAGGGATTATGCATATAGAAGGAAGCAAAAGAACCAAAAAGGCATAATTCAGTTAAACTTGAATCAAAAACCTTGAAGAAACTTTGAATTTTTCAAAGGAGTGTGAACTCACGAAAAGGATGCAAGATATTCCATATTCCTACGAGTTTTAGGTTAAGGCCAAAATTTAATCACGGGATAATAGACCTGATTTTGTATTTTAAAATCTGCTACAATGAAATCATCCATGAAACTGTTGTACGAATAATTATGAAAATAATGTACGAAATTTATTTGAAAGTTCAAAGCATAAAAACTTCCTCAAATTATTTCTCTTTTCATGTCTACTTCATATTTCATATACTTACACCAATATCAAGAGGAGACATCATCTTCATCAATGTCGATTAACATAAAAGGGCCCTCTTTTTATAAAAACCCGTGCTTATCCAAGCCACGGATTGTTAAGGCATTTTTAAATGCAAAGAAAAAGCTCAAATATCAAAAAATTAGAGATCAGAATATGCGAAAAAAGCAACCGAAACATTTATATTGAGCCTTGAAAAAACAAATGTGTTAATTTGCCGTTGAAACCCAAAAGAAGACAAGGTAGCAAAAAAAAAAAAGCTTTCCAAAAAGTTGTTAAGCTAAGAGAAAAACGACATAAGGAAGTTCCAAATAAAAGATAAGAAAACAGGAGAAAACTAAGGAGCATCATCAATGGAAGCATCATCCAGGGGAGCATCATTAACGGGAGAAGAAGGATTAACTTGAGAAGTAGAGGCTTGAACATCAGCCCTGCCAGGAACAAGTCCATCTCCATTACCCATGGGACCTTCGTCTTCAAGTGAGCAAAAGCTTTGACGCTGCTGAGTGTTATCAATTGCTTCTTTAGCCTTAGCAATCTCAATATTAAGGTCAAAACCCTCTTGGTTGGCTTCAGTTAGAGTCTTGAGGCGAGTGTTTAAGAAAGCCCAGCTCACATCCAACGATAACTTATCCTCGAGAGTCTCGTAATCCTTCTCCCACTGGTCAATCTCTGCTCTCTGTTCTTCATTTTTTGCTTCCGAGGCATCATAAGCTGTCTTCAAAGGAGCGAGGGAACTATCCAAGAACTGAATTTCATCTGTAGAGGTGCAGAGATCTTCTTGAACTTGGGTAAGTGTCTGAACCAATTCTTCCGCATAAGCCTCTTTTTGATTAAGGAGTTCTTTCAAACTCCTTATCTCTTTAATTGCCTTGGAAAGTTGTTCAGCAAAAGAGGACTCCAATATATTCTTATCCCTTCTAACTTGGCTAGAAGAAGCTTTTTCAACCGCTAATTCAGCGGAAACCGCCCTCATTTGTT